CATTCTCAATAAGCCACACCAACAACGGTGCTAAGCAGCAGCAGCAGCAGCTGACAGTGCAGCAGCAGCAGCAGCTGACAGTGCAGCAGCAGCAGCAGCTGTACCACCAATAGTAGCGATGGTTGATTGGGGTTTATTATACAACCTGGCCAGCTCGGAGACATGCACTCCACTTTCATACTTATCAATGATCTTTTTCTTCATCTCTATTGTAATTCTCACCCTTATTGCTGTAGGGTTGGCACTAGAAGCTTTCTTGGGGCCCATGGTCACTTATTTTCCAGAAAAAGCACCGAAAACACTGTAATAATACGAAATATTCCGATTGTATGCTTGGATGTTACCGCGGAGGCTGGCTGGTAAACAATGCCACCGGCGGAACATGTGAGCGCGTCTCGGAAGAAAATCGGTAAGCGGGTTTTTAACCCTTTGACTGTTTCCGACGTATAAATACGTCTTACGAGCCAATGTTTCTGACGTATTTATACGCATAAATTCTAGCAGCTTCAAATCAAGCAGGAGAAAGCTGGTAGGCCCACATGTGAGAGAATGGGTCTCCATGGTCAGTGTGCACCATATAAAAAAAATCGGGGAGCCAGTGGTGCATTGTGGGAATGCCATTTCAGTTGTCCTTTTTCAGCATGTCTAGCGGTAAGAAATATGTGATTCCCCAGCAAATCTGGGACTCTTCTCTTCCCAAGTGATGCTCTAACACAGATGGAAGTGTCAGTGAAGATCAATTTCATGATTTGGAGGAGTTTGAGACCAAAAGCAATGGAGGAGGAGGAGGGGGAGGAGGGGAGGAAGAGGAGGAGGAGGAGGAGGGAAGGAAGAGGGAGGGAGGAGGAGGAGGAGGAGGAGGAGGAGGAGAAGAGGAGGAGGAGGAGGAGGAAGAAGAAGATGTAATAATATTGTTCCCTTGAAGCAAGAAAAAAAAAAGTCCACCCCATGACAGTGACAAGATAAGGGGAGATAACATCTGATAAGAGCTGACTTTGATGAGCATAAAGGAGGGTAATATTACATGACCATCGCCCTCCCTTTGTTTTTGCTGGTACACAAACATTTCTGTCTGTCTATTTGTCTGTCTGTCAAGCTCCCTGCCTGTCCATCTAGCTCTCTGTCTCAGAGAGAGCCACAAGACTGTGTCATCACGTTTACTCACATCTTCAAGCAGAGTATAGCACTTTGTCTGGATTTCTTGGGTTATCCTAGGTAATTTACACTATGTATACTTGTATTTATGTGTACCTGTGAGACAGAGATAGGCAGACAGATAGAAAGAGAGACAGATTGAAAGATATAGAATGAGGGAGAAAGATAATTAGATAGAATGGAGGAGGGGAAGCAGCATCCGACCCCATTGTTTTGACAGGCGGTAGGGGCAGTGACTAATGAGACAATATGTCACTTTGACAGCTGCCGACTTCTGACTCAAAACAATTATAAGCCACACACTCGCACACAAGACAAGGAGGAGGAGGAGGAGGAGGAGGAGGAGGAGGAGGAGGGTGAGGAGGAGGAGGAGAGGAGGCAGCAGCAGCCAGCAAGCAGCAGCAGCCAGCAGCAGCAGCAGCAGCAGCAGCAGCAGCAGCAGCAGCAGCAGCTCAGCAGCAGCTGCAGCAGCAGCTGCAGCAGCAGCTGCAGCAGCAGCTGCAGCAGCAGCTGCAGCAGCAGCAGCTGCAGCAGCAGCAGCAGCAGCAGCAGCAGCAGCAGCAGCAGCAGCAGCAGCAGCAGCAGCAGCAGCAGCAGCAGCAGCAGCAGCAGCAGCAGCAGCAGCAGCAGCAGCAGCAGCAGCAGCAGCAGCAGCAGCAGCAGCAGCAGCAGCAGCAGCAGCAGCAGCAGCAGCAGCAGCAGCAGCAGCAGCAGCAGCAGCAGCAGCAGCAGCAGCAGCAGCAGCAGCAGCAGCAGCAGCAGCAGCAGCAGCAGCAGCAGCAGCAGCAGCAGCAGCAGCAGCCAGCAGCGCAGCAGCAGCAGCAGCAGCAGCAGCAGCAGCAGCAGCAGCAGCAGCAGCAGCAGCAGCAGCAGCAGCAGCAGCACAAGCAGCAGCAGCAGCAGCAGCAGCAGCAGCAGCAGCAGCAGCAGCAGCAGCAGCAGCAGCAGCAGCAGCAGCACAGCAGCACAGCAGCAGCAGCAGCAGCAGCAGCAAGCAGCAGCAGCAGCAGCAGCAGCAGCAGCAGCCAGCAGCAGCAGCAGAGCAGCAGCAGCAGCAGCAGCAGCACAGAGCAGCAGCAGCAGCAGCAGCAGCAGCAGCAGCAGCAGCACACAGCAGCAGCAGCAGCAGCAGCAGCAGCAGCAGCAGCAGCAGCAGCAGCAGCAGCAGCAGCAGCACAGCAGCAGCAGCAGCAGCAGCAGCAGCAGCAGCACAGCAGCAGCAGCAGCAGCAGCAGCAGCAGCAGCACAGCAGCAGCAGCAGCAGCAGCGCAGCAGCAGCAGCAGCAGCAGCAGCAGCAGCAGCAGCAGCAGCAGCAGCAGCAGCAGCAGCAGCAGCAGCAGCAGCAGCAGCAGACAGCAGCAGCAGCAGCAGCAGCAGCAGCACAGCAGCAGCAGCAGCAGCAGCAGCAGCAGCAGCAGCAGCAGCAGCAGCAGCAGCAGCAGCAGCAGCAGCAGCAGCAGCAGCAGCAGCAGCAGCAGCAGCAGCAGCAGCAGCAGCAGCAGCAGCAGCAGCAGCAGCAGCAGCAGCAGCACGCAGCAGCAGCAGCAGCAGCAGCAGCAGCAGCAGCAGCAGCAGCACAGCAGCGCAGCAGCAGCAAGCAGCAGCAGCAGCAGCAGCAGCAGCAGCAGCGCAGCAGCAGCAGCAGCAGCAGCAGCAGCAGCGCAGCAGCGCGCGCAGCAGCAGCAGCAGCAGCAGCAGCACGCAGCACAGCAGCAGCAGCAGCAGCAGCGCAGCAGCAGCAGCAGCAGCAGCAGCAGCAGCAGCAGCAGCAGCAGCAGCAGCAGCAGCAGCAGCAGCAGCAGCAGCAGCAGCAGCTCAGCAGCAGCAGCAGCAGCAGCAGCAGCAGCAGCAGCACGCAGCAGCAGCAGCAGCAGCAGCATGCAGCACAGCAGCAGCAGCAGCAGCAGCAGCAGCAGCAGCAGCAGCAGCAGCAGCAGCAGAAGAAGAAGAAGAAGAAGAAGAAGAAGGTTTGTTTGTTTGTTTGTTTGTTTGTTTGTTTTTGTAAACAAGTTTTGTAAACAATATATTGATAATTATGTTTGTGTGCTTATTGTGTTGTATACAACGAGTGTATATATATACATTGCACCTTACTTTGGTCTCATAGGCCACATAAGTTATGTGAAAAAATAAAATAGTGAAAAAAACAAAAAACCTTCAATTACAAGTAAACTAAAGTTTACCGGGTGAGCGGCAGTTGCCGCTGTTGCCATACGCGGCTCATTTTCTGCAAACTTCACGGCTCTATATCTCGGTAAGTACCGATGGCAAAAATTTTTTTTTTGGACTAAAACACTCAGAAAAATAATCTTAACATTTTCATAAGAAAAAATAATTTTTTTTTTTTTTTGAATATTTGGCGACATAGAATGACAGTTTCAGAGAGGGGCCTGAAACAGTCAAAGGGTTAAGCGGTATGTGAGGCAAAATTTTTGCAATTAAAGTAAGCGGTATGCGAAATAATCGCTATGTGATGCCATCGTTATGCGGGGGTCCACTGTATTTGTTCGATGCCTCTGTTTACTCCAACTGTTTTCTCTTCATCTTCACTCACTCTAGTCTTCTTTCTAGTTGTCTCCCTTGTATGTTCATTTATCATCTGCCTTTTTCCTTCCCCTTTGGGAGGATCCGACAGTTCATGTCTGTTCTCCCCTACTGCCTTGCGCTAAAGCTCTCCTACTTATGACTGCTTCTCTTTCTCATTTTCTTGGTCACTTCTGGTTACATGCTCATGCCATTGCTCTTTATATAGATGGTTCTAAATTATCTGACGGTATTAGGTTTTCGACGGTGTTCCCTATAGTGTTGTCCAAGGTCATTTGTTAGACTCGGCTAGTATTTTTACTGCCGAGTTGTATGCCATTCTCATAGCACTTCTCCGTATTGCATATATGTCTCCTTCAACATTTGTGATGATTTCAGATTCCCTCGGTACTTTGAAAGTCATTAAACAATTTTATTCCCCTCATCCATTAGTCCTTCATATTCAGCTATGGTTGTGCTGTGTGACTAGCAAAAATAAAGACATCATTTTCTGTTGGGTCCCTGGACACGATGTGCAGGTCAATGAACAAGCAGATGCTGCTGCACGGTCAGCGGTGCATGATCTTCCAGTTTCCTATAGAGGTATTCCATTCATACATTCTTTTCCAGTCATCTCTGCCCATCTTCACAGTCATTGGCAACAACTGTGGTTGGGCATGCACCATAACAAATTCAGTCTGTTAAACCGCTTTTAGGTTTGTGGCCATCTTCTTACCACCTTTGACGTACTTGGGAGACTTCACTCTCTAATCTCCACATTAGCATTACTCACCTTACCCATTGGTATCTCATTGAATGACACCCTATTCCTCTCTGTGAGGTTCTTCGGTTCTTCACTTTCTTGTAGGTTGCCTGGTTTACCAGCGAGCTCACAAGATTTACATCCAACGCCGCTGCCACCCTACCACTCTTACCTTATCTTCCCTTCTTACAGACATCCCTGCCTTTGACTTACAATCACTTTTTGACTTTTTGTCAGCAACTGCTTTGCTATACGAACTTTGAAATATAGCCCTTAGGGTCGCTTCCACCCCATTTCTCCCCTCACCTCTGATCCCCTCTCCAACTAGCTGTTTATAGTCCCAGCACTGTTTTCTGCCCTGCAGTGCTGTATAACCCTTGTTGGTTTAGCACTTTCTTTGATTATAATAATAATAATACTACAAGTATTACAATAATAATACCACAGATATTACATAGGATATTTATAATGAACATAATTTTTTTAATGATCTTGAAGTGAAGTTCAACAAAATAGTATAATGCTTAATTTTGTTTTTGTTTTTTTGTTTTTTTGCAGATCATCCTGGTAGCAGAGATTGGTACTTGTAGTACCAATAGTGCTGGTCATCCTGGTATTAGAGGTTGGTACTTGTAGTATCAATACTGCTGGTCATCCTGGTAGGAGAAACTGGTACTTGTAGTACTAATACTGCTGGTCATCCTGGTAGCAGAGGTTGGTACTTATAGTGCCAATACTGCTGGTCATCCTGGTAGTAGAGGTTGGTACTTGTAGTACCGATAGTGTTGGTCATCCTGGTAGTAAACGTTGGTACTTGTAGTACCAATACTGCTTGTCATCCTGGTAGCAAAGGTTGGTACTTATAGTGCCAATACTGCTGGTCATACTGGTAACAGAGACTGGTACTTGTAGTACCAATACTGCTAGTCATCCTGGTAGCAGACTGGAGTTTACCTTGAGAGAGTTCCGGGGGTTAATGCCCCCGCGGCCCGGTCTGTAATCAGGCCTCCTGGTGGATCAGAGCCTGATCAACCAGGCTGTTGCTGCTGGCTGCACGCAAACCAGCGTACGAGCCACAGCCCGGCTGGTCAGGAACCGACTTTAGGTGCTTGTCCAGTGCCAGCTTGAAGACTGCCAGGGGTCTGTTGGTAATCCCCCTTATGTATGCTGGGAGGCAGTTGAACTGTCTCGGGCCCCTGACACTTACTGTATGGTCTCTTAACGTGCTAGTGACACCCCTGCTTTTCATTGGGGGGATGTTGCATCGTCTGCCAAGTCTTTTGCTTTCGTAGTGAGTGATTTTCGTGTGCAAGTTCGGTACTAGTCCCTCTAGGATTTTCCAGGTGTATATAATCATGTATCTCTCCCACCTGCGTTCCAGGGAATACAGTTTTAGGAACTTATACCAATACTGCTGGTTATCCTGGTAGCAGAGCTTGGTGAGACAGGTACTTGTAATGCCAGTGCTGCTGGATATCCTGGTAGAAGAGGTTGGTAACTGTAGTTTCAATACTATAGGTCATCCTGGTAGGAGAGGTTGGTGCTTGCAGTATCAATACTGTAGGTCATCCTGGTAGGAGAAGTTGGTGCTTGTAGTACCAATACTGTAGGTCATCCTGGTAGGAGAGGTTGGTGCTTGTAGTACCGATACTGTAGGTCATCCTGGTAGGAGAGGTTGGTGCTTGTACCAATACTGTAGGTCATCTTGGTAGGAGAGGATGGTGCTTTTAGTACCAGTACTGTAGGTCATCCTGGTAGGAGAGGTTGGTACTTGTAGTACCAATACTGCTGGTCATCCTGGTTGCAGACTGGTACTTTTACCAATACTGCTGGTCATCCTGGTAGCAGAGACTGGTACTTATAGTACCAATACTGGTTATCCTGGTAGCAGACTGGTACTTGTACCAATACTGCTGGTTATCCTGGTAGCAGAGACTGGTACTCATAGTACCAGTACTGCTGGTCATCTTGGTAGCTGACTGGTACTTGTACCAATTCAGCTGGTTATCCTGGTAGCAGAGATTGGTACTTGTAGTACCAATACTGCTGGTCATCCTGGTAGCAGACTTCTACTTGTACCAATACTGCTGGACATCCTGGTAGGAGAGGTTGGTGCTTGTAGGGACAATTCTGCAAGTTATTAACACCATTGTCACTCTTGTAGATCTATATTTAATTAAGCACAATGACCTCAAATATTTTGTGAGTAGTAAATTGTGGTGCAGACATGTGATAGTGGGTCTTTGCAGTGAGTGTGCACAGCATAAAACTAATCCTATCCCATGCAGTACATGATGAGAGAAACAAACCTCTGATGTGTTTTCTAGTATATTTTTTTATAACTTTCTCTTTGTATTACTTGATAAAATGTATGTCATACTACTGAAATGGATAATTTGGTAAGTTTCAGAACTTGAAGTATCTTGAAATATTCAAATTTTGACAATTTTCTTGAGAAAGAAAAAGTCTTCTTCATCTTTTTTATAGGTTGTGACAAGACCTGGTTGGTTTATTGGAATTTCCTTAACTATGACAATAATCCTGATTTTTTTTTTATCTAAGAAATAGGGATAAAACTTTGATATTGTGTGTGATGATGGATTGAAAATAAAGTGAAGGTGTAATGTACTTGAGGCTTAAGATCATGATTAATGAACAGAGGATAGCTTGCTTTAGTTGCTGGAATACAAACTGCGTTAATTTTTTATTGTTTTCAAATTGAAATTTCTTGAATTTTGTATATACTTAATAAAATTATTAACTTTTGTGCACTTGCTAGAGCAAAAAAGCTGAGAATTTGTTCAAAATGAGCAATTGAATTTGGCTTAGTATAGGACTCAAAGGTGAAGTTGCTATTGCATAAATTGTGCTCAAATCACCAACTTTGTGCCTCTGTAATTCCATAAGTTTACATCATATTTTGTGTTTTTGTGGTATTACCTTAAGAAAAAGATTCTCTATCATTTCTGAAGAAATTTTTTTTTTTTCATTTAAAATTCTTGACACTTTTAATTATGGGGTCTTGATAGTGAAAGTGTGAAGTTATTGTTCATTATGTCTAAAATATTTGAAAAAGAACGTGTTCAAGCAACACACATTGTAGTTGATACATGTGATAAACAGTATTCACATTCCTCACAAAAATCTCAGTGTGTATCATTGTTAACAGTTAATGAAGACAAAAAAATAGTTAAGTGTTTAATGTGTTTGAAAGAATTTTCTAAAAAACAATATTTAATGAGGCACATGAAAATTCACACTGGAGGGAAACAATATAAGTGTTGTGAGTGTTTAAAAGAATTTACTAGTAAATCTAGTTTACTAAAACATATGGTAATTCACACTGGAGAGAAACCATATCAATGTTCGGAGTGTCTAAAAAAGTTTGCCAGAAAATCTTGTTTAGTGAGACACATGATAATTCATACTGGAGAGAAACCTTATCAATGTTCAGAGTGTCTGAAAGAGTTTTCACATAAATCTAGTTTAGTAGAACACATGAGAATTCATACTGGAGAGAAACCATATCAATGTTCAGAGTGTCTGAAAGAGTTTTCACAAAATTCTAGTTTAGTAAAACACATGAGAATTCATAATGGAGAGAAATATCAATGTTCAGAATGTCTAAAGGAGTTTAACTTGAAATTTCATTTAGTAGAACACATGAGAATTCATACTGGAGAGAAACCGTATCAATGTTCAGAATGTCTAAAAGAGTTTGCCAGAAAATCTTGTTTAGTAGAACACTTGAGAATTCATAATGTAGGGAAACCATATCAATGTTCAGAATGTCTGAAAGAGTTTTCCATGAAATATCATTTAGTAAAACACATGAGAATTCATACTGGAGAGAAACCGTATCAGTGTTCTAAGTGTCTAAAAGAATTTAACATGAAATTTCATTTAGTAGAACACATGAGAATTCATACTGGAGAGAAACCGTATCAGTGTTCTGAGTGTCTAAAAATGTTTTCACGAAAATCTAATTTAGTACAACACATGATAATTCATACTGGAGAGAAGCCATATCAATGTTCAGAATGCCTAAAAGAGTTTGCTAGAAAATTTCGTTTAGTAGAACACATGAGAATTCACACTGGAGAGAAATCATATTAATATTCAAAATGTCTAAAGGAGTTTCCAGATCAGTATAATTTAGTAAAATATCTGTGACCTCGTACTAGTTAGAAATTATATCAGTGTTCAGTACAGTGGACCCCCGCTTAACGATCACCTCCCAATGCGACCAATTATGTAAGTGTATTTATGTAAGTGCGTTTGTACGTGTATGTTTAGGGGTCTGAAATGGACTAATCTACTTCACAATATTTCTTATGGGAACAAATTCGGTCAGTACTGGCACCTGAACATACTTCTGGAATGAAAAAAATATCGTTAACTGGGGGTCCACTGTATCTAAAAGTTTTTTCACAAAAATCAATCATTAAACAAACATGAGACCATATGGGAAGGAATTTTTGCTAGTTGACAGTGTGACTGGAAAACATTATAATATGTGATAACAACATGCATGAAAATTACTTATAGATAAAACTGAATCTGTTTTTGAATTGTTTAAATATTCCTTTATACAATTTAAATTATTAGTATTTCTTTGTATTCATTCAAGAAAGCTTTTCTTTGTGTCATTAAAGTGGTAGTAGTTATGGAAGCTTTGCTAATTATATTTTTGTAGAATAACTGGATCTGTCTCTGGTGTCACTTGAGAGGAGGTGCTTGATGCTTGTGAGGAACCTTTGATCCAAGAAACTACCATTACCTTCCCTCTTCTCAGATTGAATCTGGTTGTCTCCCATTCTCCCTGCACTCTATGACCCTAGTGAGTTTATTGCTTCCTCATTAACCCTTAAACTGTCCAAATATAGATCTACATTCACTCGTGTGGCACTCCGAATATTTTGATAAATAAAAAAAAAAAAGTTTTTTTTTTAAATGAAGAGCACATTTTTCTACGTGTTATAGGATTAAAAAAAAATTTAGGGTCAGTATTTACCGAAATATAAAACCGTGAAATTGGCTCTGGATGCTCACCTGATGGCAACATTGACTCCTGCCAATGCAGAAGTGTTGCCGATATACCTTTTTTTCTCGTTTTTATTTTAATTTATATATCTTTTTTGTTCTGATAATTACAATTTATAATAGTTCTTTGTTCTGACACTAATATTAGGTACTGAAATAGTACTCAAATAGTCACAATCATATTGACAGGTGAACATTTACACCTGCCTGGGTTATTTACTATTTTCTAGAAATATATACAAAGTATTTATAGGTCCCAGCAATGTTTTAGATACCCTGGCATATACCTTGAAGCAGGTTATTATGAAAGGCACCCCTATACTGTTGACAGCCCAGTGACATTTATGTTATGAAAGGCATCCCTATACTGTTGACAGCCTGGCGACATTTGATAAATGCCCACTGCTCCAGCTAACCCTTGCTGTATTTGTTATCACTGTTACACACAAACATGTCTTGCCTCTCTATCTGTCTATCTATATGTCTCTGTCTATCTGTCTGCCTGTCTGTCTCTGTTTATCTGTCTTTCTTTCTGCCTGGAGCATACATATATCAAACTCCTTGAGGAATGGTGTTATGATAACTGTTGACAGCTCAGTGACATTTGATAAATGGGTGCTGGGGAACCCTACTTTATTTGTTTTCACTGATAAATACAAACATATTTGTCTGTCTATCTATCTGTCTGTCTGTCTATCTATCTGTCTATCTTTGCCTGGAATTTTTGGGTTATCCTAGGTAATTTACACTATGTATAATAACTGTACTTATGTGTACATGTGAGACAGAGATATAGATAGACAAAGATATAGACAGAGAGACAACCAGAGACAGCCAAAGCAAGCCAGCCAGCCAACCAACCAGCCAACTAGCTGGCCAGCCTGCCGAATACATGAGAACATAAGAAAGAAGGAACACTGCAACAGGCCTACTGACCAATGCAAGGCAGGTCCATGTCACCCTCCTCCCATCCTGGCTTAGACCAATGACCTAGGTCACATCCATTGAAGGAAGGAGCATGATATCAGACCTAGTAGCACAAGCTAGTCAGGTCCAACTCACACTCACCCACACTCACTCATGTCAGCATAGTTGCTGATCCCCTTATATGTGTTGTATAGATTAGCTGAGTATCATAGTACCATCCATGTGTTTATATAGAAGATCCCTATTAGGCCGAGTGACTGTATGACGTCATGGGATACAGCATGAGTGAGTGAGACGCGCTGCCTCGTTCTCACTCCACGGATAGACATCCAAGCAGGCAGAACAAGGCAGGCCTGGGCTCCCACCTCTCATCCACAGTCTGACAATATATATCGTCACCATCCAACTAGTGAGTTTACCTTATCCATCTTATCTCCTTCCGAACCCCCACGACACATCAACTGATGGGTCTCATGTGCATTCACGAATGCAGTTATATTATTTATACAATTATTATAATTATGCAGTAGTCTGAATAACAGTAAATCTATTTTTCTGTGTGAATATAAATTCAAAATAAAAAAAACAATTGTAATATAACAGGGACCTGGAGACATCACTAATGAACAGAGAAAATGTTATATTAGTGCCAGGAATGTCTCCACTGTTTATTCTGGCCCCTATTTTGAAATTGGCCTTTCTTGAGCTTTGTGTAAAATTGGCTAAATTAGTACTATCTGATTACTCTTTTGGGTAGTTGAAATAGGTAAATAAGCAGTTTCTTGTGTTCAATTGATAAAAGGAGTTCTAACAAAATAGCTATTAGTTTGGTCAAGTGGAGCAAAGAAATCAGCCCAAAATAGGGCTCAATGTGAGCAAAATCGCCAATGTGTAAATATTTCTGAGACCACTTACTTCGCGACAGCATAATTCCATCAAATTTAGTACTTTGGGCTTCATTACCTTCGGAAAAAGATGGCTATTTCATAAAAATTTATGTTTTTTTATTTTTTTTAAATTCTTAGACACTAAAAGCAAGTTTGCAAGCAGGGGTCTCTACACTTGAATGGTTAAGAAAGAAAAAAGAAAAAAAAGGGGAGGAGAACATAAATCCCCTTCCACACACAAGAGGATCTCAGCACAGCTGGTAGTGCAGATGCGGCATGGAACCCGTGCCATACCCTACCCTTCATGCCAGTAAACCAGCATTCCAGGATAGCAACCTTACATCTACCAAGCCACCTTGGTGGACAAAAAAAAGAGGGCGGTAGGAAACCTGCACCAAAACACACTTCCTGAGGCCACCACCTTCTGGAAGCCGACAGGCAGCCTCCAGAGATACACCCATCACCTGAAAGACACCCTGGAGTTTACCTGGAGAGGATTTTGGAGGTCAACACCCCCACGGCTCGGTCTGAGACAGGCCTCATGGTGGATCAGGGTCTGATCAACCAGGCTGTTACTGCTGGCTGCATGCAAACTGATGTATGAACCACAGCCCAGATGGTCAGTTACTTTAGGCGCCTGTCCAGTGCCTTCTTGAAGGCAGCCAGGGGTCTGTATGTATGCTGGGAGGCAGTTGAACAGTCTAGGGCCCCAGACACTTATTGCGTTGTCTTTCAGTGTACTTGTGGAGCCCCTGCTTTTCACTGGGGGAATGTTGCTTCTCCTGCCAAGTCTTTTACTTTCATAGGGAGTGATTTTCGTGTGCCCAAAGCCTTCCCCGGTATATTGGAGAGAGATTGGGATCTCCAGATAATCCAAATTCCTTGGCAAACTACATTACCACCAAGAACCTCAATGGAATGGGATGGACCCTGGTACCCTTCCCCTAACCTAGGAACTAGAATGATTAAGGGAAGACCCCTAAAGGCTGAAAACAGTAGTTTATATTTATTTTAACCCTTAAACTGTCCAAACGTAGATCTACGTTTGCATGTGTAGTGCTCAGAACATAGATCAACGTTTTATTTTCCATTCCTTCAAATTTGGCAAAATAGGCTTGAGTCACCTAGACATGAAAGAATGGGTCTGTGCACTCAGTGTGTGCAATATTAAAAAATCTGGGAGCACCAGTTCAATTGAGCACCAGCTAGAGCAAATAGCATGGCAAACACCAGGGATTCACTGGTGCCATGTTGCATTAACATTCCCATTTTAAGAGAAAAGTAATAATAGGTTAGATAAATATGTGAGTGTCGTGGGGGTTCGGAAGGAGATAAGATGGATAAGGTAAACTCACTAGTTGGATTGTAACGATATATATTGTCAGACTGTGGATGAGAGGTGGGAGCCCAGGCCTGCCTTGTTCTGCCTGCTTGGATGTCTATCCATGGAGTGAGAACAAGGCAGCACGTCTCACTCACTCGCGCTGTATCCCGTGACGTCATACAGTCACTCGGCCTAATAGGGATCTTCTATATAAACACATGGATGGTACTATGATACTCAGCTAATCTATACAACACATATAAGGGGATCAGCAACTATGCTGACAGCTCGGCCATGTTACGTATGTCGTCTCGACATACACTACTATGCTTTAGGCTGAACAGGCAGGTGGTTTTGGGCTGATTCTATACAATAAAAAATTCGTATATAACTTAGAACTAATGGATGGTCTCATAATGAGTTTTATGTAATGGGTGTTAACGTAATCACTTTTAACGTAATGAGTTTCATTGTAATGCATTACGACTTATAAGAACAAATCATTGTACATTATGGATGGAATTGATCGATCGATCTGTATTCATGCACTCTACGGATTCTGAGGAAGAATAAATATATATATATACAAGGTGAAATTACAGCAAAGGCAATCTGGTGCACTCAGATCATTACTGTCAAATTCTCAGAATACGGAGGGAACGTGAACACGAAAAAAAAAAAATTCTGAAAAACTGATCAGTTAATAACAAAAAACAGAGTTGACAATTTCCTTCATCTCGGTCATCAATTATACAGACTGTGCACATTTAAACCCAATTCTGCGAGGGTGAGGTTTACATATGCAGAATGGTTGTCATCTCTGGGAGGATCGAATTCCTCTGCAATGGCTAACACATGCCTTGGCTGAGGGAGATCTGAACGAGCATCTACAAAAGATACTTGTGGGTTTCTCATTACTTGTCGAGTACGCAAAGAGCAACGACATTCAGGTTGATTATCTGACTGAGTATTTGAGGTAGAGGGTACAGAGTCAAGAGGATTTTCAGCATCTCTCACATCAGTCTGGGTAGCAATGTCATCAACATCGCATACTAATTTCATATGATCTAAATGCGATTCTTTGCACTTACCAGTACTAATTTCTCTAACCTTATACTTATTGCCAGTGATATGTTCTACAACTCGATAAGGGCCGACAAACTTTTGATCGAGCTTAGGCATTGCGGATGTTTTGTTGAAATTTGTCAGCATAACTCTCGAACCTACTTTAACTTTTGATGGCTTAGCACGGCTATTAGTTACTCTAGTAAATTCTGCTGTTGATTTATGAAGTGTTTCACGGATTCTTCTAAAAACACTCTGAGCTATTCTGGTACGAGTTGCTATGATATCATCATGGTTGTAATTGGGTTTCGGAGTAGAATA